TTTCTTGAATAAAAGGCAAAACTCTTTGGGATAAAATAATGGAATATGTCCTAAATATCTGCATAGGTTGACGAAACTATGTACAACAGTTTAAGAGGAGTGGTGCTGACAAACTGTTCATCTCTATATTCAAAATATGGCCAAAGAGTCTAAGACGGAAAGTGTGGAAATTCTCGGAAAAATAAAGGAATTGGAATTTCCTGGTAATATGCACATCTACATATCGTGTCCTAAATATCTGCAAAGTTTAACGAAATTCTGTGCAGTGGTTTATGAGGAGTTGCACTGACAAACTGTTCATCTCTATATGAAAGGTATCGCCAAAAACCTAAGTTTTTAGTGCGGGAAGTCCCGGAAAAATAAAGGAATTGGAATTTCCTGGTAATGTGCACATCTACATATTGTGTCCTAAATATCTGCAAAGAAAAACGATAAACTCAGCACACGTTTATGAGGAGTTGCGCTGACAAACTGTTTATCTCTATGTTAAAGGTATGGCCAAATGCCTAAGTTAAAAGGTGCAAAAATTCCCGGAAAAAATTAAGGAATCGGAATTTCCTGGTAATATGCACATCTACACATTGTGTCCTAAATATCTGCAAAGTTTGACGAAATTCTGTGCAGCGGTTTATGAGGAGTTGCGCTGACAAACTGTTCATCTCTATATAAAAGGTAATGCTTAAGTTAAAAAGTGCGGAAATTCCCGGAAAAAAATAATGGAATCGGAATTTCCTGGTAATATGCACATCTACACATTGTGTCCTAAATATCTGCAAAGTTTGACGAAATTCTTAATTTTTTTTTTGCAAAAACAAATATATCAATTTATATGTGTTGTTTTTATTATTTTTTATTTAAAAGTATTTGATATTAAAAACTAGGGTGACCCTAACAATGTTGACTAGTATATTATCAAGCCACATCTAAATGCCACTTTCAAAGCAGGTATTATTTAGAAAAAAATCTGAAAATTATTTTGTATAAAAAAACAATACCTACCTACCCTAATTTTTTTGGAGGTGTAACCGGAACCACACATATTTTTATTTGGTCTAATAATTTGTTTTACTTCCAGTTCGAGAATTTTCACTCACAAAGAGACGTCACCATATACTTAGGAAGGATGTCCAATTTTAACCTTTTCTCGGCACTTACGGCATTTGAGCATTCAGGGATCGGATCTTTATAATGTCAACCCCTGCCTTGACGCAGGTCTTCTGTTTCATTCAAAAGACCAGCAATCTCTACTTCAGAAAGCCGAGCGCCTGACAAATGGACAGTTGCTTCCCATTTTTTAAACGACTTACAATGCAGATCAGTTTGCCAAAGACCTTCCGCTCACGGAGCAAGCGCTCTACCGTCAGAGCTACTCTAAACGATGAAAATGTAAAATGATTCTTGTTTTTTTGTTTTTATGTCGTCATTTTATCACTCATATGGACACCCCAACATTTGACTCTGTTGGGATAAAAATACAACTTTTTATATACATGTAACACATTCATCAAGGTCATTAAGCACTGAGGGACCTTACCGTCAAACACTTCTGCGACACCTGCCGCGGGTTAAGTATTACATACCCACCTTCCACGGGGGGATTTGAACCGGGAACGTTTGGATCAACTCCGTGATATAAATGCAAACGCTCTTATTATATGGTCACGGGAATGACAGCAAGAATAAGGGACTGTTGGTCGTGTGTTTCATAATGTTTATACTTCAGATCGTTTTAAAAGTAAAGTGCATCTGATATCGATAGAGACACTATAGTCCATGTATATCATCACCATAAAAAGATCTTTATTTGAAAATTAAATCATTAACATTAAGAAAATTTAGGTTTCAGATTCTCGGTTTGTCTGATGAACTAACATAACTCATAAAATCTATAACCAAAAAATAAAATAATTTTAAAAAATATAAAAATAAATTTAATCATTAGTTACATTAAAAAAAAGAGAAATCAGAAATTTGCGAGGAAAACATTTTGTACGTAATATAAATACCTACAAACATATAAAAAGCTATTGCAATTTTGCTACTTAAACATTTATGTACATGCTAGTAATTTTGAAGGAAAACCTTTAACTGTTCACCATAACGTGTGGGATCAAATTTTCGTGGTTCTTGAGAATTTCTTAGGATTTGATTAAAAAGTTGAGGAATGTGTACTTTTGAATTATTGACAATATCAAAAATATACATTCTTTATATATGTATCACTATTTAATCTCAGCAAAAATCATTCATTTCAATTTTCAATATTGTTTTACTTAAGAATTTTCATGAACTGGAAGTAAATGTCAATTTTAATTTTTCATGATAATTATTGTATCTATAAAATACTTTGGTGTAAAATCCTAATAAAAGCATGCAGAAATGCTAAATACCCGGTTGTACTTATTGCAATTCAATCAATCATCGAGAAAAAAATTATCATTTTAAAATAATTGTATTCTACTTTACCCAAAGTTTAGTGAGTTTGGGAGTAGCTAAACACATGTGCATGAGAATAATTAAAAGATGTCTTGATAGTGTGTCATGTGCATATATTTTTGTCGAATATTTAAAGGATAATCCACAGGAAAAAAATGTTAGAGATTTTTATTTAAGTTTTATTTCCTGTTATAAAATCTATTGAGTATATTTGGGACCATAAAATACGCAGTTTATCGAATTAAAATGTTTCTTTAGGGTCTATTTCTATATGTTTTGGTATTTCTTTCTCTGTTTTTATCTTTCATCAAAATGGATCCACATGTTTGTATTGACAATAAGTAATTCATTCTTCTCATTTCTAATGGTCCATTATATGTATAGATAATTGTTTAAAACTAAACACTTTCTATTATAATTGTTTCAAATTCGTTCAGTATTAAATATTGCTGATCAATAAATAGATCCAACATTAGAAAATCCCATCTGATCTTATGAATTTCATACACAATATAAGAATGGCTTAATAAATAGTTCTCTTTACCGCCAAGCTGCGCATATATGTTCAGAAAGCATATAAATGATTTCTCGGGAAATTTAGACTTTTTAACGAAAATTGAGTTTGATAATTTACCTAATTCACTTATAAACGTTAACTTTCATTAACTATTGCATAGAGATAAAATAATGTCTAACGCAAAGACGTGCACCACTACCACTGCATCACATGACTTCTATTTATAGCGAAATTTTCCTTAATAAAAAAGCTAACAGAACAACAATACCCCGGAGCATAATAAATTCCTTGAGTAAATAATATAGTCGAAAAACATCTATTTTGCATAAAAAGTGCTGCTAGAATCCATCTGTCCTGTCAGTAAAATCATTATTCCACACATTTGCACGAAACCTTACCCGAAGTTTTGAATTTAATACATATGATCCGAGATTTTTCGTAAAACCATGCTGAACTCTAGATTCTAGCAGCACTTCCATAGTATTTTAGAAGACAAACTTTCCATCTAGACAAATGTAATGTTTTGAAATATTCAGCTTATTGTTGTTCTGCTGCATTATTTTCGTCAGGAATGACAGAGAAAAGGCCGACCGGGATACGTTTAGAGCTGACTAGTCTTCAAAGGAGAATTTAATTGATGGAAATAAATTAGCATACATAATTACATGTAATTAACTGAAATCCATATGAATTTCAAATAATATTGACGGTATTTGTTTTGAAACTCCATTTAATGTATCTTTGCACAAGTCATTCTTAGCCAAATTCTCCTTACACGACATGATTAATTCCCAAGTTACTTGATGCACACATATGACGTCATCGATTGTAGATTTTAACCTAAATGAAAAATACAGCAAAACAAAATAAAAACATTTTATTTTTGTTAATGTATAGACTTTTCTATTCATTTTCTAGAGTACATCTCTAATACCAATAGTACGAAAAAACTTGTGTTATAAAATTGACGTCATCTAGTCTACTATGACGTCATAATGTATCATTCTGTATGCTTCCTTATCACCCCTGCGTGTTGATATCATTTTGTTTTCTACATTAGTTCCATAACAAGAGCTATTTTTTGCTGTGCAAATTACTATAGAAACGAGAAAGGAAAATGAAGTTGTAAGTTAAACGAAACTGTTGTTGTGTTTCATCAACTTGTCTGTCAAAAATATACTTTAATTCTAAAAATGTTCATACGTAGAGCATGCTTTTGGGTATTGAATTGGCTGAGATTATATATAAACTTCGTATGTGATGAAGGTATGTTGCTACATTGGCTTGGTAGTGGAAGTTGACGATTAAAAAGTTACAGTCATCACGTTTATCATAGATCTTGGGTGTTATATTATCACTGACGTCTTTTTTTAAGCAAAATATCCAAATATGAAACATATACCAGGTATGTAAGACTCTGTGGTATTTTTAATCTGAAGCACAAAGGAGTATATCGTATCGAAATAAGAATGGAAGTCTCCATTGTTAATGGACAATACGTCTTCAAAATATTTAAATTTTGAGTTTAAGGCCACACCAAATGAATTCCTTTAAGACTTAATTCTTAATATCCGGATCTTTGTCTATCGAGATACGTACTGCTTCCAATCCTTAAACATTTGAACACAAATATCCCAGAAGGAAACCAAAACGATAAATAGATCTCTCGGAGATAGTTGACAATCTTGATACATTTTTTCGTTTTATTGAAATAAATCTCTGGCTTATAGCAGATTTTTTTCATCTTCTTATATCACTTTTAATTAAAGTATATACGGATATGTCGCCTATAAACCAGAGATTTTTTTCTCTGGTTTATAGCTGATTTTCTTCATCTTCTTATATCACTTTTAATTAAAGTATACCGTCAAGTTATTCCAATAGACAAAATAAGGAAAATATGAAAATAATTTAAAGATGTCTTGAAACTGTGTAATGTGCATATATTTGTCAAATATTTTAAGGATAATCCTTAGGAAATAATTTTTAGTGATTTTTATTTAAATCAAGTTTCATTTCCTGTTATAAAAGCTATTTAGTATATTTGGGACCATAAAATACGCAGTTTATTGAATCAAAATGTTTCTGTACGGTCTATTTCTAAAAGTTGTTTTATTTCTTGCTCTGTTTTTATCTTTCATCAACATGGATCCACATGTTTGTATTGACAATAGGTAATTCATTTTTCTTCTTTCTAATGGCCCATTTTATGCATAAATAATTGTTTTAAACTAAACACTTTTTATTGTAATTGTTTCATATTTGTTCAGTATTAAATAATAGATCCAACATTAGATAATGTCATCTCATCTCATGAATTTCATGACTTATTAAAAAGTTCTCTTTTCCGCAAGCCTGTTGATATTATTTTGTTTTCTACATTAGTTCCATAACAGGATCTATTGTTTGCTGTGCAAATTACTATAGAAACGAAAAAGGAGAATGCAGTTGTAAGTTCAAGACATTCTAAAGTTAAACTGTATATGACTATATTTAATTTCATACACTATAAGTTTCACAATGTAAGAGGTTGTTTTATTTCGATTTTGAAATTGAAGCTTGCCAGTCCCCAGTTAACCTTATAAATGATTATTTATCTCCCGTTCTTTTAACACGAGTATTATTTTTTGAGCTGATATGATAATTCAGATTCTTTCTTTGCCTTTTTGATGTTTTCATTTTAGTATATATTTCATATGTTCTCATTAGTACCCTTCTGTTTTTTAACAAATGAAAATAAGCACATGTTACGCACATGAAACTTTTTTTTTATTCATATCAGTATCATTCAATTTATAGAAAACCTTTCTTGTGTATCCGTCATGTTACTGTAGGTAAATTTGCTTTAAAAAGTATGCAGTTATAAAGTTGCATTCACCCTGAAACTACCGTTCACGGTAGCTCAGTCAGAAGAGCGCTCGCACCGTGATCGGGAGGTCGTGAGTTTGTATCTCAGCCGCGACTGACGTAGTCGATAAAATGGGTAGCAACTGTTCCTTCGCCATGCGCTCGGCACTTTGAAGTAAAAGTTGCGGGTTTTATGGATGAGACCTTAAAACTGAGGCCCGGTGTCAGCGGCAGGCGTTGGCACGATAAAGATCCCTCATTGCTCAATGGCCATGGTCATGAGTGCCGAGTAAAAGTCAAAATTTGAAGCCCTTCACCGACATACGGTGACGTCTCCACATGAGTGAAAAATTCTCGAAAGGGAGTTAAACAATATCCAATCAATCAATTAATCAACCGCAGTAAAACTACAGGAAAACTAAACTAAAAGAAAACTAAAGCGGAATTAATTCCAATTGATTAAAAGTTCGATGTAGGTGTTTTAATTTGTATCAACAATTTGATGCCAAATGAAAATTATGCTCTAGTATTAATCTGCTGACTCCAATGAATCAAAAGTAACAAATAGATAGGATACATGATCTTTATGTAGTACAAGCTGATAAAGCAGGAACCGCCTATGATATTGTTTATAAGGCTCATTATTTTAATTATTATTATAATTAAGAGGCACTTGACTTCAATTCTGCATGTAATAATAAATCTGTTTTTAATGAGGAATTTCCTCCAAATAATATGTCATTTTGAAATATGTTTACAGTGTCATGTAATATTCCTAAAAATAGGTTTGAATTTGATTTCTATACGATAAATACATCAAAATAGCACAGTATTATATCTATAGATACTTCCTGTGTATGTTTTGAATGCGGCTTTTTACACCTTACCAAAACAATAATTGCTAAGACGGGGGAATTCAAGTGTACTGTACCTTATTTAACAACATACTTTAAAATCAGATCTTGATATAATACTTCAATAATATTCATAGATTTTTAATTACTAAGCTTGCTAAGATAAAATGAAAACTGTTTAATTTTTCAACACTTTATATATAATTATTCTTCAAGAGAAATCAAAGTGTATTGTATCAAAAAAAATATTGCTGATTTCTATTAAAACAGTACTGTTTGTTATTTATTCGAATTTTTAATACTTTAATTAATAGCTTGTGCACCAGGATTCTACGGTGATTTCTGTGAGAATCCTTGTCCCCCTGGAACATTCGGGGAATATTGTGGTGGACAATGTGCCTCTGTGTGCAGCTTTGAAGAATGTGATCCCGTTAGAGGCTGTGTCCTTAAAAAGGAAGGTAAAAATAAGTCAAGTCATCCTTGTAGTACATATATATATATATATATATATATATATATATATATATATATATATATATATATATATATATATGTACTATATATTTTATATCAATTTCATGTTGTTTTTTATTCAAATAGCAAAACTTGCAATATCCTCTCTAGAGATGTAATCAATTAATTGTTATAGCAAAAATGTGTTGTCGATTTTCAATTAAGGTATTTGACAGAGGTAAATACAAAGTATTCAGAAAACATTTTAATTTATGAACCTGTGCATTTGCTTCCTTCAAGAAAATTAACAAGTTGAACATAACATAATATTTTTTTGTAGATGTGACTGTCACTAACATTGAATCACGGGCGACGATATTTAATATATCAGTAAATACCAAACAACTTTTATTCTCTGGTTTTACAATTGCACTGAATACAAATTTGAGCAGCACAACTCTATCAACTACTTTCTCGGTCAAACATGTTCCAAATACTTCTAAGGGACAGCTGAATATGTATTTACTGGTTTTCATGGGAATAGTTATAGTTTTACTCTTCATAGTTGTAATAATTCAATTACGATCAAAATCTAGACGAGGAAGAATGTCAAGCCAGAAATCTACAGGTTACGGAGATATAAAGAATCAGAGAGATGTCGAAGGTGATTATCTAAATAATGAACCTGAATATCAAGAAATCGACCAGTACTTGGGAATACTTAATGTTTCCGATGAAGTAAACAAGAAATCTACAAATAAGATATTGGAACCATTACCAGATATGAAGGATTGTTACTTATCCCCAATTTCAGGAAAGGAAAAGTCAGACACAAAAACAAAAGATGAAAACCACAAATTATTCCCAAAGGCGGAAAGCCTAGAGAAACTATCTCTAAGAGAGCCTTTTAGCAAACTCAAAGTGGAGGAGAATGTAACATTTGAACAAAAACATTCATGCACAGATTTTGAAGATCAGAATGGTGACGAATATCATGGGGCCCCCTGCTCTTCCGTCTCTTCAGAAGAAAAGGTCTCACTTAATAGTGAAATGATTAAAGAAGAAGTGGATGGCGGAAACATTGACTCTTATCTTCACGTGGTGTTTAAATAATGATAAAAATATCAATGATTATAAATAAAAAAATGATCTTAACATTTCGTTCGCACTTGTAATGATATTTTTAGAAAAAGTGTTTATATAAGAACCTATTTTAATGGTTTCTGTGTAATCTAAATTCGTATGCTGTACATTAATATTATTGCAAAACCTGTAAATACTTTTTAAAATAGGGTCAAAAAATGTCTAACGACATGGAAAGTTATGACTGCTCTATTGATGCAAAAATAAAAACTACACTCCTAGGCCCGTGACCTTGTTAAAAGACAACGAGGAGTGTTGTGCTTTGTGAATATGTATCTGAAGAAGCCCTCTAGTCTCTGAGTCATTTTTGAATACTCCGAACAGCATGTGAATCTCGGTTACATAAAAAAAATTGTCATCTTATCATGGATAAATTTAATCATAATTGTGGTCAAAGATCAAAAGATACAATTTATCATTAAGTAAAGTGCTGGCTGGTGTTTTTCATACTAATTGTTAGTCAATTATTTAATTTATTTATTTACATTTAATTTAGACGGATTTTCCCGTTATTTCCGTATATCACGACAAGGAGCACACGGCGGGTGTGACCGGTCAACAGGGGATGCTCACAACTCCATGTTACCTGACCCCACCTCTGATGTTTCGGAGGTCCGTGTTTGCTATGCTTCTATGTTGTATTGTTTTATGTATTGTTTTATGGACTTTATTATTGAATTCTGTGCGTTATCTTCATATCCTTCTTCATACATTATATTGTCCTATTTGTCTTACGGATGAACAGTTAACCAATGTGTTGTTGCATTATTTGACATATGTATATTCCCATAGTGCCAGGTGCAGTTTCGGCAAATTTCACTCAATTCTTGTATAATATATATATGTTTGAAGTGTAATGTCATTTATTTTCTCTTTATTGGTCTGAACTTTCCCTTGTGTGGCCAAGTCAGGGCGTATTCAGACCCATTTTTATAATTTTTCGGTTAAGAAGTTGTTATTACTGGAACTGTGGATTATTTCCCATTATAAAATTGGCTTATTTTTCATCTTTATATTTTGTGCCATTGTTAATAATAATAAAAATTTGAGCATTTCAATTAAACGTCACAAAAGTGGAAGCACATAACAAACTGTTTTACAGACTTTTTATCCATTTAAGGAGGTGGTGTTTTAGTGTTAGAGGATTATGAAAAGATGTAAGCAATTTGATGGGTATTCGGGCTGTTAAAATACTAATTGCATCAATATAAAAAAAAATATTCGTCAAAAAGCAATTCAATATCTGGGACAGACGTACGACTTATGAAATGTGATAAACTAGTTATCTTCTTTAACAATTATTAGCAGAACACGTCTCAAGTAGAATATACTCTAAAATCACATATTTTCGTGGGGTCAAATTTACGTGGTTTGAGGAAAAAATGTTGGTTCGTGGGGATAAGATTTAATTTTACATTTCGTGATGGGCATGAATTCATGGGTCTCTTCATACCTCGAAAACAATGAAAATTAAACCCCCACGAAAATAAGTGACTTCACAGAAATTATTTTCATACGCATCAGAAATTGTGAACCTCTGTCGAATTATTAGATATAATTTAATGTTCCTGAAAAATGTTCCATAAAGAATTGAGAAACAAAATGAAGAAATATATTGACTTTGAAATGTTATTTCATTGAAGATTATTCAATGATTAAAAAAACTTCATATTAAATTCAAAGTTACATGTGTAACAAACACATCTTACGAAGTTATGGGAGTACCGTACACTGGACCAGTTAATTAAATGAAGATACATTCATAAATTGACCTTGAGTTTTCTAAAATGAATATTGACATTTCCTGTTCATTTTGTAATATACAAGTGCATAATTATATCTTATGACATAATATCAAAGTTTGTTGAATTTTCAAATACGGAAATAATCATGAATTATACAGATGGATTGCTTGATGATATGAATTGCAAATATACACTATTTTAGTCTAAAGAGATTACGTTGAATATTGATAGACAGGAAATGAACTCAATCATTCATTACTATCCATAAACAAAATCAAATTCTTCCGAAACAAAGACAAAGTACAAGGATTGGCAGTAGAAAGCAAAAATGTTTATTTTATGAAGGAAGCTTTGAAAATTATCTGAAGAGGTTTTTTTTAACAAGCCTTGTAGTAAAAATCAAATATGTACATTTTTACCGTGCAAATATACAAAGGTGCATTTGAAAAGTTTTATGAATATCATTGTGCCAAAGATGAAATTGCATAAAACACATATAAATCATTTAATCCAACTTTCGATAAATTTTTATTTCAGCATTCTCCAAACAATTATCGTCAAATTATTAATATTCAATTCAAAAACATGACAAAAATTCAAACCCCATTAATTTATCTATACAAAAAAAGGTTATGAAGTGAATCAAATAACTGACAAAAATTTAATAATACCATAACAAAAAATACTATAGCTAACTATAGCTTAATGTAGTTAACTATAGTTACATTAAGTTTAATACTTTGGAACTTTGATTAACTATGGTGAAAACTTTGGCACTTTGATTTAATATAAGTCCTTCATTCTTGTAATTAAAATAAAATTGTAAACAATTTTATAATGCTGACATCATATACAACAAACAATTATGATATTTAGTTCAGAATAGCTTTTATAATTCTTTGCACCAGGTGAGCTAAAAGGAGAAAAAAAACAACATTTAAGTGTGCATAACTGAGGCATTTAAAAAAAAGGTCAAGGATATAGGGATTGTGCGTCTTAATTCTCAAGAATGAAATAGTTGGCTTTTATGTCTTGAAAAGGTCTTATTTGGTAAGAAAATAACAAATCATTAATTGAGATAACAGTACAAAAATGAGACAAATTTAGTTTGTTAGAAATTCATTTATATGCCTTTTAAAATCTACTTTCGTTTTTAAATTAATAAGTGGAATGATTTCATTTCCTTACGATTTAGGGTGTTTTGCATAGATAATTTTTAATGTTTAAGATTTAAATGCATAGCTGATACTTAATCCATAAACGAGAAACATGGAGTAAGTTAAACATTATTATCTATTTAATTATCTGTATCATCATTACATGTATAAGCGGCCATTCAAGGAATGTTTAAATGTTTATACGACATATACATATTACAGGAAGCGCGCTAGCGCTTCATTAAAAGAAGGCTTCGTGCAGGTCTGTGTAATTTATACACCCAAAAATTCACACCTAATTTTAAGACATTTCGTATTTTTAATTTTACAAGTTTCAAGGCGCCGACAGCATACCCAATACTAGGTATTTGAATTAATGTCTCGCTGTCCTATATAGATAGTTTCCGATGGACCTAAATTTAGCAAAAGTTATCTCCCGTTGGTCGCCATATTGGAGGTTGACTCGATGAGTTTTCCTATATTTGTCTTACCAAGTTTAAGAAAATGTAGCAGAAATATTTGGTGGAAAATCTTTATTAAATATTTTTCTTAAATAAAGGAGGCTTCCAAAAATTTAAATACTTTAGAAAAATAATGATTCCTAATTCAAAATCGCAATTATAAAAATTTAAAATTGGTTGAATAATGAAGCAATATGAGCATTTGGACCTCCAGTATGGCTGCCAACGGGAGGTAACTTTTGCTAAATTTAGGTCAAATGAAAACTATCTATTGTAACACGTCTCTTTAGACCTATCGTGGCTTACTTCATTCTTCTATGGTGCCTATATACAACTAGAGTGTGTAACGCGTGTGTCTGCTTTTAGCTTCTTAAAGTTTAAACTAAATTTAAGAGTGGTCAGCTATTTATATGGTATTTGGATATATAAAGTTTTCCATAAAAACAATATAATAATCTTGCATGGTGTTCATAAAACATTCACGCATAGTATAATATTAAATGTTCCCAACCCTTAAGAGAACAATTAAGTTGATTATAAATTATCATTTTAAATGTGTTTATACATGTTTCAATGTCTTTACATTAAATTGTTACTTTACTCGATCCCGATGTATTTTCATAATATTCAATATCAGTGTGTGTGGTTACTAAATATCATAGTTTCAAATACAGTATTATGAGCTAATAAACATGCATTAATATTACTTATCAACACCGCCACAAAAATACAAAAGTCCTAAGTAAATATAAAATTATCTGGGGTATCCGTTGTATAGTAGTTCAAAGGTCAAATTCAAGTGATATTTTCCAGATTGATTTATGACAATCGGTCAGAAATAGCTAAATGGCATAGAATTAACCGTTAAAAGTAAAAAATATATATGCTGTATATCATAAGGTAAGTAACCACATATATTTACAAATGCTATAGTGCCAAGCAATAAATGTTCAAAATATCAAGTCCAGATCTCCTGGGAAACAAGGTCTGACAGACAGACGGACGCCGGGATTAGTGATCCCTTAGTGCCGCCGTGCTCCGCAGGTGACACAAAAATACATGTAATTTCAAATTAATTTCACCATTTCAAAATTGGCTTATAACATTGTAGAAAAAAAGCAACGGTATATGTAAATATGTTGACAAAATTTATGTAGAAGTCAAGATTATTTTCATTTGAAGGTTATTTTTCCATGTCATTACTCCCATATATGTGCAACGGACACGATCATTCAACATCAAAATTACAACTTCATTAACATGTACAATACAGGGATCTTACAAGGTGTCAAGGTGTTTTAAAATTTTATTGATTAATTTATTGTATGTTGTTTAACGTCCCTCTCAATAATTTTTTCTCTCATATGACGGGAGACAGCTACAAATTTTGTCCTATACTTGGCAATTGAGCAGTGAGGGATCTTTCTCGTGCAAGCACCTACTGCGACACGGGACCTCGGTTTATACGGTCTTATCCGAAGGACCGGTCTCCACGTCCCACAGAAGGATTCGAACCCCGACGTAAGGATTGAAACAGTATACAATCAGACAAACTTGGATAACTTCAATTTTTGACTTTTTAAAAATAACTGTGTAGACATTTATACACGCTATCGTTTGAGTTTATTTTTTTCAAAATATAGGGTGACAATTGAGTACTAAACTTTTTTACTGTCAAATGTTTCTTTAAAACATTGTTAACTAACCTCAATATGATGCCTCTTAATTCTATTAATGCTTTGTGTCTTAAATTCAATCAAACATCATTAGTGATAATTTGTTGAATTTTTGCAAACCGTACATTGGTCGTTGTAAGTCTTTGTTGCCTTTATCTCGAATAGCCCTTGTTTTCCAGCTTTTCACAATTAAACTATGGAGGGAAAAATGGTCACATAAACTATAACGAATTCATTAAAGATTCAATCATTACAGAAAGTCAAGCTTAATGTCATATAATTTCTATATATTGTATGTCATACAGCCCAGGACAATATTTATTAAACAGCCCTTATAATCTGGTTTACTTTAAACACCAGATCAGAAAAAACGAGCAAAATTATGAATCATGGAAATTAATTTTTATTCGAACATTTGAGTTCTGTCAGGTTCCTTCTTATTTGCATAAAATTTGTCAAATTATGTACAATTTATCACACAGTGTACGTTATTTCGCTTAAAGAGACATGAACACTGTTTTAGCTAAAAAAAATTCCAATACCATTTCTCCATTTTTTAAATTTCAGTTGTCGAGATACAAGACTGATTTAGAGCTCAAAACCTTTGTTATGTAAACAGGATCTGCTTCGTGTTTTTGTTTAGATTAACATGCTAATAAATGTTTGTTCAATACATATGATTTCAATGAAGAAATAAATTCTAAATACAATTAGACTGTCTTTAGCGATTTGCTGAATTTCATTTTATTATAAATATGTTATGTCATTTTATTATAATATATAGTTTCTATATGATATCAAACACAAAGCTGGAGCCTTGTTTACATTATGAAGAACTTTAAGTTCTGTATCTTGTTTTTTAATTTACAAGTTATGTTCAAATTTTTCTGATCATTAGATGAAGCCTTACTTAGGGATTATAAAAATTGAAATTTGTATTAAAAACTCAGTTGCAACTGTGTCTATGTCCCTTTAAGTAGAGATATCTCTATGAGATACGAAGATTCATGAAACAAGATCCATCGAATGCGTATTAGGTATGCTTTTGTTTCTGGTGTTTACATTGACAGGTGTTATACTTGGACTGAACATGCTGACAATGTAACAAAAACGTACATTCATAAAATGTGTTTGTCTAAATGAAAATTCCCCGTCCTCGGTGTTTTTGCTAGACTGTCTTTACCCATGTTGTACTGTTTTGGGTAATATAAAGAAGGAAAAAAGACTTTAAACAACAACCTGTGAGAACACTACAATCGAGACATTTAGAAATGTTTCTACAACTGAAAGGGATACCTCTAACCCATTATTGTGTATAAGTGAAACACGTACTTGGTATTCATGATGAAGTCCAGTATGGATTTAATCCAAATAATGTTGTTCTGGTTTTAAAAATATGTGTGAAATAAACGGCAAATCCATTAAATTAAGTTTTTTTTCCTGATTTTTTTTAATGTTCAACCTTTCAACGCAATTTATTGTAAAGGGTGAAAAAAATTAATATGTATACATGTACCTTTTAAAGTCTACGGATAACAGAAAGAGAATGCATTGCCGTAGATTTTTTTAAATACTATCCATTTTATTCTCTAAAAAATTGAATCAACAAAATCAGAAATGCGTATCAGTATGGTAATCGGAATTTTGTGAAGTGAGCATTTTTAATTTAAAGTGCTTTAAAGATTTGTTATGTAATGCACGGTCCACTTTTTATACCTAGATTATAGAAATGATGTTATTGCGTCTGTTGTTTTTTAAGTTATAAGTGGGGCAAAATTCAATTCATTGAAATGCTAAATGAACATAAAAGAAAACACCTAAAAGAATGTTTTGTGTGTTCTAATTTTTTGAGAAAATCATGGAAAGGGGGATATTTATTATTGAAAAACCTAAGTCTAAGTAGAAAGACCAATCAAAAACAGTGCATGTATTTAATGAAATCGCAAGTGAAATAAAGAATTCATAAGGAGAAATTATAACCTGTTGATTTACTTGGACCGATCACGACTGCGATCATACGTCGTTTTATCAATAAAAAAAAAATGCCATACCAATTATAGCTCAGGTCACATTTTACATTGTAAGTGACACGCATTGTCTTTGTTATGTAGAATATTTTTTGTCGTTTGGATACTTCTGAATTATATGGAACTCTTTATGAAGGACTATATCAAACTTCCCAAAAATGGTCTCTGAGTATACTCGTATGTTATGCTCTCTACTCTTTGTAAACTTTCAACATTGAAACACAAGTATAAAAAATGTAAATACTGAATATGAATGCAACACTATATAGATATTTAATTAAAAACACTGGATTGGCAGGCAATCAACATACCGTGTCGATGTGCAATAAGAACTGAATATTTTTTCTGTATTTTTAAAAATAAGCATATCACTTATCACACCATCACTTCAAAGTTAAATTATGCTCAACTAAGGTTATATTTATATTCAAAATTATGAAAAATGTGACTAGTAATTCCATTTGTTTTTTTTTTTACAGATATGTCTGATTTTCTGTGTCCCAGGAACCTTACAGAAGTCCATTTAGCGTCTTTGAGATTGGGCTGTAGTCGGGACAAGTATGGGAATGACCAGTACCTTTGTTTACCTAACACCAAGAAGACAGCCCTTGTAGAATTATGTCATAATGGAATCATGGGGATGATCGTAAAGGGTGATTTAAATTCTTTGTATTTGAAATTTAAAGAAAATATTTTGATTATTACAATTTGACATACAGTCAAACTTAATTTTCTCGAACATGATTGGACAGCAAAAAAAACTTCAAGAAGTCTGAGGATTCGAGATATCGAAGGTATAAAATGTAAAATCCTTAAAGAATATTTGGTAAGGACTTCCAAATCATTTTGACATTTTCATAGTATTTGAAATATCGGAGTTCCAGATATCAAAGTTCAATAATTGAATTATCTTCATTGACAAAAATATCGTAATATTCCATATTTAAGTGAGAGAAACCGGTATAAATGATCTTTTTATAAGACTTTTGACCAAACATACAATGTTCGTAAAAAATAAAGTTTAGGGATATTTATTCTTTAAAACAAAATCCTGAATTGCATTAGTTTATTTATTTTCGTCATTGTTCTGAAGGAAATTGCTTGGAAACCAACGAGGGCAAAGTAGTTCGTAAAAATTGCTCTGAATTTAAGAATGGTTGCCCAGAAACTGCGTTCAACAGTAAAGATATTTACAAATGTAAGTTTAATTTTTTTACTCTGAACATAATATATGTTCAAATATATCATGGATTAAAATGGATGGAGTTATGGGAATTTTTTTAAATCGAGATATATACGATAATTTCGTGTACGAATGCATTTTCTACATGCATTTCTTTTTTAACGTAGACCGTGCTTGTCATGAAATCAATAAAGAATTCAACTGTTACCTTGCAGAGCCATCTTGCCCAAGTCGGTGAGTTTATTCATAATCATTTGTACCAAGGATATGGAGATAACGAACATTATTCAATCTTTAAGTCCATAAAACAGTACAAAATAGGACCAGAGCAAACATGGACCTCCGAAACATCAGAGGTAGGATCAGATGCCATATAGGAGTGAGCATACCCTGCTGACCGGTCTCACTCGCCGTGTTCTCCTTGTCATGATCAGGAAATAACGGAAAAACCCGTCGTCAATTCAGTGTGTAAATAATAGACTAACAATTTGTATGAAAAATGTCAGTCAGCATTTGACTCAATGATAAATTGTATTTGCTGACAAGGTCATTGTATCGACCATAGAACTTACGAAATGATGACTTTAAACGAGAATGCTGATATTCTTGTTTCATCAACTTGCTTGTCAATAATTTACCTCGTTTTAGAAATTGTTCATACGTAAAGCATGCTCTTGCATATCGAATCAACTGATATATATATACTCCGTATGCAGGTGATGAAGGTATATTGCTGCATAAGGATAGAAAAGTTAAAGTCATCACGTTTATCATATAGCTTGGTTGTTAGATTACCATTAACGTCTTTTTCCAAGTATAAAACAGATGAGTCAGACTCTGTGGTCTGTATTTATTGTAGTAGAAAATAAGATATTTTCCTTACAGCAATGTGATACTGACAAATAAATAATATATATAAGATAATATTTTATTTTCTCTCGCTGCAAAGTAAAGGGCAGTATATTGTTTTATCACATTGTTTCTGTGTGTCTGTTAGTCCACAACAAATTTTCTTCACAGTTTTCTTAAATGTAGCACCTTCTCATCACTTTTGGCTTTATAACATTCTTTTCGGCATGCCTAATTCCTATTTGTACAAGTCCAATGACAATGTTCTGTTTATCCGAGTATCTGTGACGAATTCCCGCCACAGTTTTTTCAGCAACTGCCCGTTGCATATGCTTAAAATGTTTTGATTTCATTGTTCTATTGTTGTAAATACAGCTGTACTCTGATTATGATGCTGGAGTCTTGAAAGTTTAGCATACTGAAAAGTCGCTTTTTGTCCACATGACAACATCGGAAACTTGTTGTTAAAAGCCTCTTTTAAAACGTATTTCATGAAAATTTTGTTTGGAAGTAGAGGAAGAATAAAAAAGGTACCGTTATCAGCAATAGCATATTACATTTTATAATTGGCTTGCTGAAACGGATTTTGTCCATTGATGTTTTATAGCCATTCATTCAAGATTTTTATTTACATGATGCTGATGGAATTTTGGTATTATTAATATATATCTCTTCATTTTATTAAGTAAAACAAGTTTTCCAGTACGATTGTTTACATTTTATTGCAGTTACATGTATATACCTGTGTTTGTTTGTATACTGCACTGACCTGTAGAACTATAACTGCAAGTCTCTTTGGGATCTTACTTTGTGGCATTAGAAAAAGCATTACGTTATTATTGTCGCTACCGAATGCTGTATAGCGAACGTCCGTCTACAGCGGTGTGGACTGATTACACTGAAAAGAGAATAATTCCTGCCCTTTATATAAAGGTCTGCAGATATAGCGATTCTCCGAACAATAATGGCGGACACATTCCATTTACGAATCGTGTTCAGCTGTATATTGCCATTTTAATTCTTATTTTTAACATGTTTAAATGTACGAATATACTGAGTTACGATGTGGTTTAATCTACAATTTACACATAAAAATACCAAAATATTAAACAGGACTTAGTCTACTGGTAAAAAATAATCTTGATATGTGTCTTTTGTCTCAGTTGTTGTTATTTTTTGTAGTACACCAAATGCGGAACTATCTACGCCAGTTGGGATCTACAGCACAACAGACATTCGAAACCATACAACAACACACCAAATGGTTGAGTCAGATGGTTTTGAATCATTGTTGTGGGTGATGGCTCCTATCCTTATTTTTGTTTTAGCTATTCTGCTGACAATTGGATATGTATGGAGAAGAAGAAATCGCACCAATATGAAACAAAGTATGCGTATTCATCTAGCACCGATCTGATTTTTCATTTATGATAGTCACATGGGTAAACTCGGGAGACCTACTGTTACCCGTTTTCGTCTTCGTTCGACATGCGTCTCGTTTTAACAATGAACAATTTCAGATTATTATCTGTAACCGCTCAATCAATTTTAACCAATTTTGGCATAAAGCACCAAGGGAAACTAATATTTCAAATATCATGGTCCCTGTCCCCCTATGGTCTGAGGGATTCGGCAAAAAAAAAAACAACACTGAAATTAATGCAATCTTTAAAAATCTCCTTTACTCCTAAACATAAAGCAATCAAACTGTTTGCCTGAAACAAGTACTGAGTCCTCTACCAAAAATGCAAATTGTGTTCTTGTTTTAATGTGGGCCTACAGTATATAAATTATTTAGTGATTATTTGAAATCTGTTCCTGTTACGTGAATTAAGCAAACGAACTACTTAAACATTTATGATGAACAATGGCCCTTATTGTAGAATTGTGGATTGCAAGGCCCCGTGGTCTTGGGGTAACAATGGGGATTCCGAGGGGCTCAAATTATTACTGAAAATGAATTAATGCTTTGAAATCTGCCCTGTTACTACGCACTTTGAAAAATTACGCACTTTGAGAAAATTTTTCAAAGTGCGTTGAGTTGGTCCCAAATTTAACGCACTTTAATTTTTTTTTCAAAGTGCGTTGATTTTGTCCCAATTTTAACGCACTTTGAAAAATTTTTTCAAAGTGCGTAATTTTTTTAAAGTGCGTTGCCACACTGCTCCCTGGTATTAATCAAATATTAATGATGAGCGAGTGTGCCTTTCCTGCATATTTCACAAAATTATGTGTGGCTCCAGAGTTTGTAATTCCTAAGGGGTTGGGTTACTACTGATCATTGCTAAATAACAGACTAAGCATGATACGTGTATATCTATGATGAGCTTTCAAAATGGTGAATGTAATAATAAAACTTTTAAAACATGAACTAAATTCAAAGTGATAAATAAGAATGTTATTGCATGATGATCTGGTGACCTATTAAGTCCCTTGACCTCTCGTAAGTTTATTTTATTGAATTATTGATTTTTGACCTAAACATTTACGTAAATTTAAGATTAAAGCAATTGAAGTTCACATTAATCATGCTAGTTACGATAAGCTACATGAATCTATTATCGTATATTCTCGAGCAGTTTATCACGATATAAATTTTCTGACCTCTTCAGTGTCTTTTTTTTTTAAACTGCAAGACCAATTTCCACTGATTTTGGCTGTAAACGTGAATCATGAGACATAAAATTTATGAATAACATTGTCTTATTAATATGTCATTTGTAATGTGCAGCTTAAACAATCAACATTAATGCAATGTTAATAACATAATATATAGACATTTCGTATGGATACTTTTAGCAATTTCTTTATTTCTGCAAATTTTCGAGCTTGAGAATGTGATGATAAGCACGTGTCTTTTAGGGCCCACTTTGTCTCCCATAATTTTTTTAAATAGGTAGACAATAAGAGATACTCAGTGTTAAATTCCTTTTAATTCATAAAAAATATCTATAATTTTTGGTTTATAATCTTTACCTAAGTAAATACATATATTAATGCATACCGATATACAAGAAACTACTGAACATTCAGAGAAATGTTAAAGATAGAGTCACTGAAGTACGTCTAGTGTAAGGTCAGTTATTGGTTGTAGGCGGAGTTAACATTAGTAAGAATCAGTTAAGATCACTGTGTACACATAGTTTGACAAAGAATTTATTTAAACGATCGAAGAGACTTCCACCGATGGCTATCTAAAATCTGTAAACATTTTATTGCCTTGTAGATGCTAGAGTGGAGGAGTTAAAGCCTTTACAAGATGAAGAAGGTTTGTTCATTTATCCTGTCTTTCATTATTATATATTTTTTAATATTTATGTTTAGTATACTGAGGAATCATTTTTATTCGTGGAGGTCAATGTTCGTGGGTAGCCAAAAATATCCTGGCCTGGTTCGTGGGGACGTACTTTCGTTAATAACAAGTTCTAATTCGTTTTTGTAACTTAAATACATAATAAAAACAACTGTTTGTATGTACGTTCGTGGGGATGTCAATTCGTGGGTCAGGGTAACCCACGAAAGCCACGAACATTGATCCCCCACGAACAATGATGATTTCACAGTAGGTTTGTCTAATTATATAAGTTATGCAGATCACAAAAAACATAATTTAAAAAATAAAGTACACACTAATCTTATGAAAATTGTCCGATATTTTTTACTGGATTGTTTCATCATAAATTGATATTTATAATAAAATAGTTATTTACTATTTAAATTTCTTAGGTGATCTACAAAAATCTGCAATTTTCAAGCCTATAGCAATATAAGGTAGATAGGCGTTTCATAAGTTGCTTGATGGTCGTACGTCAAGTGTAGCTCATTTTTGAAGGGGTGGGGATATCTTGCTTGTTGATACACATTAGAAATTGTAAAACGTTATTGACATTTATCATCTGCTATATTTTATAGTTCAAGAACGATCAAAATGCAAAAAGTGTTTTGTTAGATACTGA